GTATACCTGCGACAGAAAAAATGCATCCGAACGAAAGTACTCTTCGACCCGACGAACGGACAACACGTGCGACGGACTCATAAATTCCATATTTGACAAACGAAGAAATTACAAACCCGAACTTTCGAACAGTTTCCCACTCCTCATTTCAAGTTCCTTCCGACACACCCATCTCCGATCAAAAACGCTTCATTTCCTCCACCAAAACCCACCATCCACCAATCAGCAGAAAACCGAGGTGACAAGAGGGAAGGCACCTAGAACGTAGGTAGAACTCGTAGAACACCTAGAACGTAAAGAACTCTGAGAACGCAGATAGAACGCACATCGAAACCACAAATAACGCGTCGCTAACACCATAGCTGTACAGACTGTAATATTATTAAAGTGTACATAGAAGCAACCAGCGACTTCGTTTCAACTTAATTCCACTTGAAACAACGCGCATATACAGAATGCCTCTGAATAACTGCGTTTCTTTGTATGAAAATATCCGTTGTCGAAACACTGTTTTAGACAAATTTATTGTCTAAAACTTGATTACAGAAAACAGAAATTAGATGAAGCATCGACGCGTGTTGTTTTAGAGTTAACAGCGTGCTCGAACGAGTTTCCTACGTTTCTTTGGCGCGATCGAAACTGCACCTACCACAGAATATACTATTAAATTGTACTCCGTATTCGTTGCGTGACATTTTCCCAATTCATTGTTTCGATTAATCAATGATCGTCGACGGTAATCTGCGACGCAAGCGTCGCTCAGCTACGAAATAATTTCAAACAAATATACGAGTCGAAGCTACAAAATTGTTCTACGTTGTCGAAACACCGTTGTACTGGCTTATTAGTCGTAAATATTGTCCCTTTCATAATTCTTTCTAAATAACAAGTAAGACTTGTCGTTAAAAGAATGGAAATAAAAAGTATGTAGAAGACTTTAAACAGAAGGTTTGAGGGTTTAGACGATAAATAAAGACGCGACAGGTTCTAATGATACATATCGTAACGACCGATTTCGTCATAGAAGAAGAATTAAGATCTTGGACGAGAGATCGGCCGGGCTGGCGGTCCCGCAGCGACGACAGAGAGAACTATGCCGAACCGTGAAAGAAGGAAATTTATATATCCGAGAGCTTGTCATCTTCCACCCCTCATTTCCGTGGAGTTGGCGAATTGTCGTAGATACATCTGGAAATAGCCTTCCCGGAATAGCGAAGAATTTAGACCACCAACGCGCGGTCTCTTGTCTCAATTAACGCTTAAAGACTCGTCCACACGAAACCACCACCCACTACGCTGCTCGACACGCTGTGTTTGTTCGTAACAAGAGTCGCGCTTGTTATCTTATAAGAGCCGGTGACGATACCGATCTTGATTCATACGCCGGTGCAGAATAATGCGCATTCGTGTGACGGCCAGTGCCGTCCGTAAATCACGCGGTCGTGGTGCTCACCTTCGCGACTGGAAACCAAATTTCGCCAGCGGTACTCGCACACCAGATTCCCGAGATGTTTCATATTTGCCGGCGTTCCGTGTCTGCTACCAGCTCGCTCGACCTCTATTCCGTGTCATAACTATGCGGTTCGTTATGCAAAATAATATACAGGGTTCCCCGGAAAGAATCATCCGATTTGAAAAATTTATATTTTAAAGAATTACACACGGAAAATTATGATTCAAACACGAATATAACGGGTAAATGTGCGAGTTTTTGTTTACAAGTGTTCAATATGACTTCCTCTCGTTACACGTATGATATCATTGCGATATGAAAGTTCTTGCCAAACACGGTGTAATGTGTCTCTGGTAATTGTTTGTACAGCATCGCAAATGCGTTTTTTCAGTTCATTTACACTTGCAGGTAAAGGTGGTACAAAGACAAGATCCTTCACAAATCCCCAAAGGAAGAAGTCGCATGGGGTTAGGTCGGGTGATCTCGGAGGCCAACTGTGTAGAACCATATTATCGGATGAACTGCGACCAATCCAACGGTTTGGTAGTTCCGTGTTAAGAAAATTCCGAACATCCAAGTGCCAACGGGGTGGTGCACCATCCTGTTGAAAAATGAAAGTTGGAAGATCTTCTTTCAACTGTGGGAAAAGCCAAAACTCCAACTTATCTAGGTAAGTAATACAGAAAAAAATAATAAAAAGTAAAACTCGCACATTTTCCCGTTATATTCGTGTTTGAATTATAATTTTCTGTGTGTAATTTTTTAAAATATAAATTTTTGAAATCGGATGATTCTTTCCGGGGAACCCTGTTCCTGTTTTAGCAGGTCGCTTCAATTTTCAAGTTTACGATAGATTCGAACGAAATTTTTCATGATTTTAGAGTCACCTCGTGTTGCACCATTTTCCAAGAACAACGGTCGAAAACTCGAGTCACAGAAGCATTCTGCAAAGAATAAACAATGGATCGTGAGTGTTATTTGCGAGATTACAGCAGCTTAAGTTAAAAAGCAGATATGATGAATCGTATATATGCAAATTATATAAAAGATTATTATAAGAAAAGAATTATATGCAAATTATTATAAAAAATATATATTACAAAATCAGTTTTTAGGTGCAAAGGTTTTTCTTTTATAACTATCGGACACAGAATGTTACACGCTTGATAACATCGTTAACGATGTAAATGTTTTTAGAATGTCTACGTATTCTTTGATTATTGAACTATACTTGGACTTATCACAGTTCAACCAATATTTTATAACATCACGAGATATCGAAAATCCGTTTTATTACTTTATTATTAACAAATTAAGGAAACCCAATTTGTTTCGCTCTGAAAAAGTATGCGAATCCACGCACGCGATTCGTGCATTTGTGCAATTCGTAGGAAATCCGAATTTGGGAATAAGCTGTATATCACGTTACAAAAATTTCGTGAAAATTTCACAGACAATCGTCGCAGATTACCGTCGACGATAATTGATTAATCGAAACAACGAATTGGGAAAATGTCACGCAACGAATACGGAGTACAATTTAATAGCATATTTTGTGATAGGTGCAGTTTCGATCACGCCAAAGAAACGTAGGAAACTCGTTCGAGCACGCTTTTAACTCTAATACAACACGCGTTGATGCTTCATCTAATTCCTGTTTTCTGTAATGAAGTTTTAGACAATAAATAAACCCTCGAACCGCGGAACAAGCGTTTAAAGTAGCTCCGCAACATTCTGTGAGTTACGTTGATTATAATCGACGCAACTCCGAGCGATCATTACAGCGTAATAATTCTTCCGTAGCGCGTCTCGATAACGTGTTACGATGTCTGTAATCTCTGCGTCACTAAACAATCCCAGCGGACGCAATTTGCATCGATATTCAAGAATAACTTAAACTAACAAGCTGTTACATTGATGAAACTATTCCGATAACGAGCCATAAGGAAAATGCGCAACCTATCCTGTTAATATAATGCGATTCGCATAAATTTAGCCCCGTGGTCACCCCTCGGAGATCATCGTAAATATCGCGCGATTCTATCGCATGCATTTTCTAACGCTCGAGCCACGCGACGAGCAACTTTTCTAAAATCGCGGTTAACAACCTGCGCCGTATCGTATTCGAGCAAGAACAATCTCGGCGAAATCGTTAATTAATTCCGGAATACGTGTGTTTTTCTACGGGCGTTTCCATCGGCGATCGTTTTTCCTTTATACAAGATCGACGTATCGACAGCGATTGGCAAACACGTGTTTTAGTGAGTTTCGCCAGGCGGTGCGGCGTGTCTCCAGGAGAAGAAAAAGTTTGCTTTATGATGTTGTCGGTGGTAAACTAGTTTCCAAGGTGGCGAGGCATTCGGGCCTGTTGCATACTTAATTTCCGCGATACCAACTACGCTGATCGTCGGGAACAATCGTTGTTTTCACCTGTACACGTTACGTGATATCAGTTGTTCGTAACAAATCGATGTGGAAAATGTTTTCGTTAATAATAAAATTATATGATATAATGATAAAATCTGTCAGTTATAGAGCAATTATTAACATAACGGATGTATATCATTTGCAAACATTCATAGCAATTTCTATCGTTACCCGCATCATTTGAAACAATAGATAGAACGATAATACTTTACAGTATTGTTTTAAATCTTTTAGAATTTTTACACATTGTCGGATGGCGTATCATTTTACATGTCACAAACAAAACAAAAGCATCGATTACCTATTGAATCCTTTATATATAAGGGAAAATCCTTTACATAATTCTTTATACATATAATCTTTATTATAAGGGAAGGTCAAGAAATGTTCACAGAATTTTAAATATGTACGTATTTATTAAATATATTTATTACGCATATTATTATACGAACAAATGCAGCGTTCACATCGTACCGATTCGCAGCACTTAGCCGAGAAAAAATCACTTCGACGAAAGATTCCAAAAGGAGAGAAAATGAACAAGAAGTAACTAATGATGATCGAACTAACGATCTAGCCCACCATAAGGTAATAACGAACCGCCGAGCCTTTTCAAACAGAAAAAGAATGGATTCGAGTGTTAGAATGGAATCATTGCTCGACCATTTTGGCGATCGCCGATTATGCCAAAGAAGTCAATTACAGGCAGAAAAAAGCTGAAACAGTTCTCTCTAGTGTCGGCTAGATACACCCAGACCACATTCCAGGAGATAGTACGGGATCGGACGCAAAAGGGAAACGGAGACACGGCCGAAGCAACTCATTCCTCACGGGAATCGGTGTAATTACGATTTTTCGCGTGGCACCGCCGCGCGCCGCGGTTATAATTTCTCGACAAGCGCGCGTGTGGGATAAGTAATGCTTATCGATCTTTCCCCGATGTTTCCCGGCGACTATCTGCCCGGACCGCGAGCTCGCACGGCGTGGGAGGCTCGGGATTTAATAGCCGTCAGATAATAACGAACGGATATGCACCCGATCGACCACTGAATCAGCCCCGGCTGCTTAGTATTTCACGGTTTACGGGTTATGAACACAAGGATTATTGTTACTATTATCGTCGGACCACCTGCGTGGCCGGCGGAGCCGCTCTCACGTTCGAGCGCAGCTCTTCTGCGACCGCCACGAGGAACAGATTTCATTCTTGTTCGCCGAAAAACCCTGCGATCTCCATCATCCGAGGAATACATTGTCCAGCCGACGAAACGATTGTTTCGCCGCGACTCGTGTACACTGCTTGACACGCGCGTTGCTTTCTTTCCATCAGCGAAGTATTTAGAATTATTGGGTTGGCAACTAAGTAATTGCCGATTTGTTCAATGAAATCAACAATTTTTTTTTTACTTGGAATGAAGTTTAATCTGTGATGTATTTTCCATTTTGTTCGATGACCTTTTGCCATCTCTCCGACAACTTGAAAATTCCACGCTCGTAGAAAGTCTGATCCTTTTCGGCCAAAAACTGAGTTAAGTGAGATTTTACAGCGTCGTCATCATTAAAAGTTTTACCACGAAGTGAGTTGTCCAGGGATCGAAATAAGTAGTAATCCGATGGCGCGAGATCAGAGCTATATGGTGGGTGTAACATCGATTCCCAAGCAATATCCATCAATTTTTGCCGAGTGGACAAAGACGTGTGCGGCCTAGCATTGTCCTGCCGGAAAATGACACCTTTACGATTGACCAATTCTGGTCGCTTTTCCTTGACCGCTGCATTCAATTTGTCCAGTTGCTAACATTCGCGGATAATAAAAAATAACATAATAATAATAATGATAATTTTATAAAATAACATTTACGGATATC